TGAATGAGATCAGGAACGTGTGGGAGCATGTGAGCATGGCTGGTGTAAATCTGATGCCGGATGTCGCGGTAGAAATGCTACGTGCGTGGGAAGACTGGACCTGGGATTCAACGTGGAAACAGTGGTACCTGGACGTCGCCGAAAACGACACTGAGGAAAAGAGTCAGATTTTCGCAAGCCCGTGGCGTGTACAAGGAGACGGTGAATGGGTCTATGTTGGCAGGATAGGCGGCGTACACTAAGAAGAGTCGACGATTTGGTATCAACGCGACACCCTGAACGATACCGAAGTATCCTCAACGATGTACAGGCTGTTAAACACCCAGTCACTTCGGCAGTGTGCGTGAAAGGCGCATGTGAGACCTCAGAATCAGACATCATGTGCCAGACAAAGCGCGCATGTTCTACCCGCACAATGTGGTATCAGTACTATATCCTAGCGTTCACCCGCCTATTCACCATTCTCAGACGGCGTGAATACATGTTCCAAGGACAGGGAAAAAGGACGATGAACGGTCGAGCAAACACACGCGTGGTTACACGGACCGAAACATATGCGACACTCCAACCCACAGCGCAAGAGGACTACTTCTCTTATCACCCGAAGACCAATCCTCGTAGCAAACCGGTCCTTCAGCGTCCGCATATTCCGGCTCCACTGCATGTAAGCTACACGAACTGTTCGCCGCTCGCTGCAGGCCCGGCAGGATGGAAGTATACGCCGTTATCTGCGCGCACTCCTGGATTTGAGTCGTTTCGTCACGATCACGGAGTGAAATTGAAGACGCGTCTTTCATTTCGAGCTGTTCTGCTGAATTGCCGTTGGGATTTGTTGTGGGACGAGGATGAGATGCCGGCAAGGGTGATCGGTCGCTGTCAAATGTACATCGAGGAAAAGTACGAGTCTGTTAAACGGAGACTGGCGAAATGCGGACGTGTTTTGTGTGGGTTCCTAGGTTGGCCTTGGCGGAAGCTATTCTATCGGCGGGTAACATTGGACGAGGTAGATGAGCTTCTTCCGAGTTTTTATCGCGACGATCTTGAGCCTGGGCCTTCGCTTGATGCGGAAGATGTTCAGGCTTTCCTTGACTATGTAGTTTAGCATACACTGCAGGTGTACATGCGCGTGGACGTGCGCGCTGCCCAGGTGTATTGTCCCTTTACCACTAGCAGGTGATAGCAAGGTAATTCTTAAACGATTGCTCAAACAAATGTGAAGAACGCTGTCAATCCTCAAAATGTTGTTTGATACTCAACGCGTAGTGGCTGGTTTTCATTTCGAAAGGTTGTTGCGAGAGGGACGGAAAGGAGATGGTGCTTTTCGCGGCTATGACGTAAGCTCTCACTAGCGCCTAACAGGACAGCCCCGATGCACGCGTCCCAGCCTCCTTCAATGACCCTCATCTCAGCGTCAATATACCATCCTTCTGACCACGTATTTCATCGTCGTCGCGCACGAATCGTCTGCGATCAGGGCGCAATACCGGTAACGAACATCTCCGACTTATCAGACAGTGGCTCTTTCTCAATGTTCATCCCTACTTCCGGGCATCCGCGAGACGCGTCCGGTCGACAGGAGCAATTTGCAGAGAGTCAGCCATGTCACCATACCCATGATCATGTGTCAAGCATCAATAACTATCAGATGCCTTCGCGCGTGATCAGCAGGCGCCGCTGATTTCGGGCAATATTGGATCGAGGCAACTACCGGCATGGTTAATCACCAGAGATTCGCCCTCGATATTGGAAGCCCTCTCACCAGCTGCACCCCACAATGCGCTTTCACGGAAATGTGTCATGCAGGGGCTGGCTCACATGCTGATAAACTGCGAGACGATGGAACCATATCCTTACACTCACATTGGTCTGGTTCTCAACTCATCATACGGCGCCATGTTGACTCTCCTTGCAATCGTACTATTTGTACCGTCTATGAACGCGCTACTGCACCATCTTGCAGTCGGCACTACGGATGGGCGGGCCTTGTACTCGCTGGAGATGGACGATGAATCCAGAAAAGTGTATACGATTCAGGCAAGAGATGCGGGTGGAGCATCGCCGTCTTTGACGCTCGACGTACGTGAATCAATCTTCAATAAGGGTCATTCCCGTTGACCTATTCGGTAGCGCTCGAAGCAGCACCTCTTCAGCAGTCGTCCGCAGGATGGAACCCTGACGCGCCACTCGATTGCGCCTACATACGAGCTCATCAGCGAAGGCACCATGGAGATACCCTCATCATGTTAGTTCTCATCATGACACCTGCATGAATCGTTCTGACCAATCCAGGCAACACTACGAACTTCGTGTCTCTACAGCTAGGATCTTCCGTGCACAACACTGCTATATGGGGCAGTGCTAGCACAGGAACTTGCAGTATCGTCTTTGGGGTGTCGCCAGACGGTTATGATACTATTAACTCCCAAGAGATCGCCGGAGACGTACACTCTATTGCATGGGCTCCCAATGGGCGTAACTTGCACGCATTGGACTCGCACTCTTCCGGAAGTCTCTTGACGTCAATTACGAACTTCCGTATGTCCGAAGACCCGGATTTGCAGGACGTGGTGGGTATTGATGTCCTTGGTAATGTCACAAGCGCTTCACAAATCGTCGCCCATCCCAGCGAAACCTTAATGTACATCGTCACTAAGGAGTCAAACGAACTGATTGTCGTTTCTTTGGCAGGTGACACTCTCGTGAGCAATTCTACTCCGGTCCTGCGATATAGAATACTTCCTACTTCTTTGGATACGACACAGTTTCAGTCATCATCTCTGGCTATTTCTGCGTCTCGAAACACATTGTGGGCACTTTCGCAATCTCCGCTTCAAGCAGTCATTACGGCCTTTACCCTCAATGTCACAACCGGCGAGGTGGTAGATATCGCTGCCCGAGCGAGCTGGCAGGGATTTGGCGAAGGCCAGCTCACGGCAGCGCCTTTTGATGGTGGCGATGTAGTCGCTATCACAGACTCTCCGACGGCATACATCACTATACTTGGTCTCGATCAATCCACATTGCCAAGCGCCCGCATAGCCGAGGATTCTGGCCTTCACGACTATTTGTATGCCATGCAAGTTGATGAGAGGAAACGCAAAGACACACAAATGGCTGCACCGAAGATCAAGAGCTATGGTCGGGTTTTTGTTGACGATCACATCTACTTAGGCGACTGTGCGTGGATCGATTGAAAATATCCAAGTTCCCTACGTATTCAGTACAGGCAATGTCTTGTTCTCAAACAATGAGCCTTTGATAGCCCCGTCTCCACAAAGCCACTACCGGTCATCAGTTTTACACTCGCATCCTTTGTTTGTTACTCGAGTTACATCAAGCTCTTCTGCAGTAGCGGTGCGATGCGATTTCCCAGTCTGAACGGACATTACATATCTATACAACCCGTATTCAAGCACTTAAAGACTATCTTATATGCCGTATGTTCACATAATAGCGTCATCACATCACTAATGCTTGCAGTCCTAAGCGCCGCCGCGAAGCCGAGACTGCGGCTACTCGCCGAGTACGCGCCAGAAGAGCAGCGGCTGCCGCAGCAGCTACCGTAGTGAACGCCACCAATCCGCTTCTCAGATTTCCGGGAGGTTAGTCAGACGTCTTCTACATCGCGCACGAGTGCTAACATCATGCAGAGATCAGGAACAGGATCTATCAGGCTCTGTTCGATCAATTTGTGGTGGCTCATCGACCATATATGATCACGCGTAGGGGAGTAGATCCAAATGGTCCTCCGACTGCCCAAATACGCAATAGCCCATGTCCGCTGGTTATGAGCGCGCCGAACGGCTTCAATGTCATTCCTTGGGCAGACACTGATCCATTGCGACGTGTCAACGCCGCCACTCAAGCAGCGATACATGTTGGATACTGTGCTATGAAGACAGACTTACTGGCTGTTGGGCAGATATCACGTCAATTCATGCGTGGTCAGTCTGGTGTTCGTTAATATATATGGATATATACTGACTTGCTATCGCAACATTCACAGAGTACCGATCCTTCCAGCGCGCTCGCCTGCAGCCTTTTGTGACTCTTGATGAGTTCTGGAACTTTGTAAAGCTATTCTACCCAAGCGAAGACCCAGCAATTGCTTTCGACTATCAGGGTCCACGCATTACGCTTGCTTTACCACGTCATTCATACCAGTTGTGTGACATAATGCCAGTTTTGCGATTTTTCAACCGCGCATCGTCCCTGCAATGCAATATTTGGGGTGCTTACAAAGAAGACGGCGACTGGTATAAGGTCCTTGCGCAACCCCTTCGCCAGTATATCTTTGCGCCCCGGGAAGGTGCCCTTACTATCTCGAAGTTAATGTTTCGTCCGTACGGGAGGCGAAGAGTTTATGAGGGCAATCTTGATAACTACCATGATCTATGGTATAGCGCAGCTTTCAGAGTGGTCTTCGATCCTGTGTCAAGACGTGACTGGATGGACGGAAAGTTGATAAGCTTCCCCGCCCAGCCGCAACGAGCCCTCACGCGGATGAACAAAGAAAGAGCAAGAAGGCAAGATATTCTACAGTTCCTCAAGGCCGCTGGCTTGAACAATGAAGAGATCATGACAAGATGGGAAATGCGATTCACTGTACTGGAATAGCGCTAGTCATAGGCCTTGTGGCAACGCCCATGGATATATTCACTTGCTGAATATTTGATAGTCACTCATACCACAGCCACTCTGACCTGAGCTCGGGTTATCCCGACTCATTACTAGGGGATAAGCAGTGAATGGTATGCAGCTATGGGCGTGATAGTCCGCATCTGGGCAAATATTTCACTACATGTATCCCCAAACACAGGCCATTGCTGCCTGATATGAGGGTAGTTGAATTCATTGTGACCACCTCGGCCCCATCAAAGCGGCCTTATTCCCCTACTTTCCGATCCATCTGACTATCGCACACCGAAAGTTGAAACGACACCCGCCATACTCAACTCATCCATCGCGCTTAGAGGAACACGAAGTCGAAGAATTCCGCTATGGTGTAAGTACAATAGCGCCTCCATTCATCGAACCAACGACTAACAGCATTGATAGCAAACGCAAGCGCCCCATTGGGCCCGCTGATACCTATATCAAGCGATCCCGCCGCGCGGCGAAAGCAAAGAGATCTGCCACGCCCACAGCGCTGGGACAGCCAATTGCGGGCAGTATCACCGAAGCAGCCAAGAGCAATGAGAGCAACAAGTTGCTGTCTCTTCCAGCAGGTAGGTCAAAACATCCAAGCGCATTGTAACATACAAACCTAATGAGCTTGTAGAAATACGGAACACGATCTACGAAACTGTCACTGGGGATTTGCAGACAGAGTACGAAGCTTATAAGTGCAGCGAGATTGCCCCTCTGTTGGATCAGCATACACAAGACCCAGATCGGATGGTTCGCCTCAATCTTTACCCGCCCCTTCCAAATGAAGCAGAATACGCAAACTTTCGATGCTTGAAGAAGGATTGGCTCGCACTAGGCCAAACATGCCGCCAACTTCATGGGGAATTTCGCTCGCTGCAAAACAGTCTCACTCATGTTTACATTTCCGTACGATTTCTCAAAGGCTACCTTGAGACTTTCCATCACGTCCCCGACAAGACGAATTCCGACCAAAAGATCACCACCCGACCCGCTCGTCCTCCTGCGAAGATGACGGTATTCTTCAACAAGTTTGACAAGAAGGAACAGCGTCCCTTCGATGTTCTGCCCCTTATGCGGCTGATGCAGAGCTATTCATCACTTCGATGCGACGTCTGGACACTTAATCCCGGGCGCGATAATCGCTCCCCACAACCTCACGGTGTCGAAGATCGAGACATCCACAATGCAGTGTTTGCAACTCAAAACTCGCTTTGGGCGCATCCTGATCCGAAATTCCTCCCAAGTCTCAACCGCATATCCTTCTCTCCTCACGGTACACTGAGTATTAGTGTTCAAGACGAAGCTCTCGAGGACTGGATGAAGACCAGCAAGATGAGGCAATGGACTGGTGCTGATTGGAAACGTAAGCGTGGCAAGGGGATAGACAAAGACGGTACGTGGCTGAAAGACAGGCAAGAGCACACGCGGAAGTACCTGGAAGCATCTGGAATGAATGTCGAGCTGTTGAAGGGGTGGAAAGTGACCGTGGGTGAAGGGGCAGGTTAGCTATATAGAGCATATCCAGCCGTTGAAGCTGATGTACGGAGCGACTGCACCTCATACAAGAAAAAAACCGAACGGGTCTGCAGGCTACATTAAGCTAAAACCTTACAAAGTAGGTGACCTAACGTTAATGCAGGCTCTAGGCTATTTAGTTTATTCCTAGGTTGGCGTGACTGTCTGTTTTAGAGTATAGCTTATTATCAACGTCTTTTCTTTCCAATTCTACAACCGACACAAATTACAATCATCCATGGGCATGTAGAAGTGTTTGCGCAATCATGATATTATCGTTCTTTCATATTAATCAGATCTCTTAAGATCTCAGTCCCAATCCAGATCCCAAAACGCCTAGCTACCGAGCCAAATCCCAGTGGTATATGCGCATCCCAAAAATTCACTTTTGTTTTCCCTTTTCCGTTTCCCAAGTATTACAACCCCACATCTTCCCCGTGCTTAGCAATCGAGGCGTCTAGTGGATGCCATAGGTCTGCTCGTAAGCGTTGCTAACACTCTTGTGGTGCTCAACAACCTTGTTCTTGAGAGCCCTCCACGCCTTCTGGTAGTTCCTTGGGCCAAGCTCAGCAGCCATCTCCTTCTCTCCGGTAGCAGCGCCCTTGCGGGGTGCCTCGCCGCTCTGCCTGGGGCTGGAAGCGAGGGATGAGCTGCGGGATGCGGAGGGAGAGTTGCCGGGGCTGTAGTAGACGGCGAAAGCGGAGTTCATCTCGCGGTGGTGCTGCTTGATGGCCTTCCATGCCTTGGCGGCGTTGGTGGGGTTGCGCTGAGTGGAAGAAGGACCCGCCATGGAGGAGTTGCGGGATGTTTGTGCGGAGGCTGATGGGGTAGTCGCGGAGGAGCCGGTGTAGTAGGTGTTGTAGGCAGCGTTGACGCTCTCGTGGTGGGCCTTTGCGTGTGCCGCAACGGAGGAGAGGAAGTTGGTCATTTTGATGGTGGTTGTTTGTGTTGTGGTGATGATCGATGTGAGGTATATGCTCGAAGGTCGATCGATGGATTGATAGTAGTAGTAGTTGCTTTGCTTAGAGGCTGTGGTATGCTTTGCTGTGTTGATGCCTCCATCCTCACGTACCCACCCATCCCTTTATACTCCCCCAGCCCATCCCCAGAAACTTCTCTATGACACCCGCCAAGCATCACCGGTCACGCCCTGGGACCAAACCTTTGCCAAAATTTTACTCAGCACACTCTGCGCACGCCCTGCACATGTCGACGAAACGATCGTGAGATTTGAGGCCATGCGGCCGTCTGATTGGCTGCGGGCTGACAAACCCACAGAATTCTTGTCAACGAACACCTTCACAGGGCGTGAGAGCGTCCGTGCCACCATCATCATGACAATGAGGTGCCCACGCCCTACCCTGGTGCGTCTTTTCCGATGGCGCGCCGGAGCGTTTCCCGTCGGCGGCTAATTTTGGCAGGGCGCATGTGTGTGTAAAGGCGCGGTGACGAGTTTTCGGTCGTGTCCGTTAGCTGCTAGAAGACTGCCTTTGGAGGTATGGCGGGGAAAATCTCTGTTATTGGCTGCCACGCTTCGTCGCACCACGGCGTGTACCTGATCCACGCAGGCCCTTTCCCGCCCCCGAGTTGCCCGTCGGATGCCAAGTTTGCTTCGGTCCTTTTAGTCTAGACGCTGCTGTTGCACTGGGAGTGGATGTTTGTACGTAAAGACGGTGTTTTACCTTGAGCGCATGTCCGTTAACTGTTAGAGAAATGCCTTTGGAGGTTTGGCGACGAGAATTTTTTGTTCGGTGAGCGCTGGGGCGCGTGACGACGGTGTGGATAGGGGGTGTGGTGTGACAGCAAGTGAGTGATTTTCTGCAAGCTCACGATCGTGTTGCCAGATCTTTCTCGATGCCACGAAGGGGTCATCTGACGACTATCGTGACTCCGGGTCTCGCGGTGTGCCCCCGACGATGACTGCGGTCAACCCTACAGCGCCGCCCGCCAGCGTCTACCATTCAGCTCTTTCGCGATCAATATGAAGCTACCGCAATTGCCAGCCTGAAGTATACACACGATTTTCACAATAATGGCCAACGGATCTTACAGCGCGCAATTGTTATTAGGTCAACATTCCAAGTCAAACGCCGCTGGATGCATTGAGAGATCTATCGCGCGAACATCTACAGGTTCAATCTATGCGAATACACCAACCCTTTCATAGTCGGACTGCAAGATACCCCGTACCCCACCATATCAGCAACAGGAAGCCTCCCAGCCAATTTTCTGGTATCGCACTACTAGTCCGTGTCGCTCCCGCGATGATCGGTTCTCCTGTGGGGTAAGCATAGCCGTTGCCAGTCGACTGCCCGTGGACATTCCCGCCATCTCCACCCGACCCTGTCCCGAGCGCATCTGGCCCCTTGGTCAATGTGACGACTGTCGTGACCGGTTGAAGACTCATTGTAGTGCCCTGGACGACTACAGCAGTTCCGCTATGCTCGAGGCTCAACGTTGTGCCGTCAACTGTAATAGGGGCGCCTCCAGGGACCAAAGTTGTGCCGGGACTTATCACAATGTAGCCAGCGCGATTTGGCGTGTACACATGATCCTTGAAGGTCAAGGCAGCTGAGACTGTGGATGTATACACGTCACCGAACGTTGGAGTGATACTGGATGTTTCGCCGTTGATGATGATTGCCGTCGCGGAAGGTGCGAGAATGAGTGTTGTCCCGGATATAGTCAGGGGCTCGCCGCCAGGAGAAAGAGTTTGGTCTGCAATAACGTATTCTGTCTGCGCATTGGGCGCAACGACTTCGGTACCGATGGTGAGTATTGGTGGAAGTAGGACCGGTGGTTGCGACATGGGCGCGTCTGTGATAGCAGGCTGAAAAGGTTGCAGCGAGATGACAGTAGTCCCCACGACAATCTTGGTCTTGCCTTCTGAGGTCTCTACCACAATAGGTGTGTCCCCGACGGTAACGATCTGGCCAGGTGTAAGAGTAAAAGAACTTCCTATCACGAAGTCACCATGACTTGGAGCTTGGCCAATAACAATGTCAGATATCCCAGCTGATATCGTTACCTGCGGAGGGTCTGCTGTTGCCGCTTGTGTCTGTTCTTCTTGTATAGTGGAGCCATGTTGCTCTCCGACTGGGTTATCCAGCCACCCTGTAGCAGGTATCTCAAACACTGGCGAGCATCCTCGACACGGCCGCGTAGAACTGAAGTTTGGCTCGCTGATCTCGTGATGCCCATTCGGGTCTCCAATCTGTGTTGCGGCTGGCGGAATTGGTTTCAGCCCTTCAACTGTTGACAGCATTGGCGGCGTCCCTGTGGCATTTCCTTGAGACGTGGTCAACACAGTCGTCACATCCGTCGGCGGTCCGTCGGTGGGAATGAGCAATGGGTTCGAAATCGGCAATGGTGCAGTCGGTATGGCTCCAGGCGGGGCTAGCGTTGAGGGTATGAAGTTTGGCTCCGAGAGCGAAGCACTGTGAATGAGTTCAGGTCGCTGCGAAGGTATCGCGTTGGAGGGAGGTGTTGGGTCTACTGGAGGCGCAAGATATGTGGGTGCACCAATATTGGAGTCTATTAGACACGACATGTCAGATCAGCCATCGAACTTTGGGCTAGTCAGCGCCACTCACTTGGTTCCGCTGTCACAGAGTACTGGACTCCCGAGGCAGAATTTGACCCATAGTCGGCTAGCTCTGTATGAAAGTCAGCGCGAATGATTCTAGTGTCCTATGATGGCCAACACCTGATGCATACCCGCCTGTGCTAGCGCGGATGTAACGCCTAGCCAAGTCGCACATAGGCACAAGACATGACACAACCGAAGGTCGGCACCGGAGTACATGATGAAGATGGCTTCAAATACAGAGTATTCTCAAAGAGCCATGATGTGGAAGTGGTTACTGCGAAGAACAGAGGATACAGTCTTACGTTACACCCTGGTGACAACCCTTCTCAATACACCTAATGCAGGATCTCAGCAAGCAATCAAAGGTAATGAATCAAAATCTCCGCGTCCTACATATACCGAGGAGATGGCCGGTGACTGAGATAAAGGCTAGGACTGTGGTACACAACATCTACTTAGATTGCCATTGATTAGACTTTCTTGGATTCTGGGGTTACGATTGTGCCGATTGGAAACGCCCGAATGCGGAGATGGCTTTACCCGGAGCGGGAACGCAACCTTATACGTCGGCTGGATGTTTACCAGAGACTGGTTCCTTCCAGGTACCTTAGCGAGCCGCAACCCCTGTACCATACCCGTGCTGCCTGCAAAACTGACGAGGTTATTGTGAACGGACGAATCGCGATCGCGCAGGTTTCTGATAGAAGTCTTTAACCAGGTCGAAGGAGTTCTAGGACAGGGTTGGAGGAGAAATGCCATGTGCCCGAGCAGCACAATAATGCGCATGATGTGTTGGTCATTTCCAGCGTTTTCGTCAGCTCATCGCAACTTTACGTGACATTGACTGAGCTTGATCGTCGAAGTTCTGTCACACAGCCGTAGTACAAGCCTGGGATCTCAATACAAGCTTGATTTACATGCATTTTCGATGACGCAAGGAAACTCAGCTATTGAACACTCAAGCGTTATCGATGACTTCCCAAATGTAAAGGTGACTTGTCGACCCAACGTGCAGGTTGCGGAGGACCCGTCCGAAGCGCTCGTCGCGGGTGGCGTATGTGACATTCAGCCGGGCCCATTCAGGCGATAAACCTTCGATGCAAGGTTGAACGCACGTGGTGAGGACATGTATGGTGTTTCTAGGTGCTCGCTAGAAACGTCCCTCGATGTCGCACCAGGGTCATTCGACACGCGTTCACTATCCTGCTGATCGCATCTTTCTGGGCACGGAAGAGTCTTTGTAGTGTTGATAACCTGATCACGCAGCTGCTTTCACGGGTGATACCGGGAGGTTCATGCGTGTAGCCGGTGCGTGCTTCGCTCGCTCCGAGCTCCACAAGGGACCGGATCTTTATGTGTTGGCCGAGGGAAGATCTTTGAGCTGCTTTCGATGTCAAACATC